AATTCCTCTATTGTGCAAGCCACACATCCATGATGCTCATATGTGGCTGGCATGTGGCCGGGCCCTTTGGCAGGACACATGCTGTATTAGTTCATATCTACCGTTTATAACAAAACACCTGATACTGGGTAATTTCTAAAGAAAGAAAACTTGTCTCTTACAGTGTGGACACCAGGAAGTCCAAGATCCAGGAAACACATCTGGTGAGAGCCTTGTTCGTGGTGGTGGCTCTAGAGTGATGCAGGGTGTCACATGGAGAGGATGGTCTGAGCAAGAGAGAGCTGACCTGCTCACTCACTCTCCTTATGAAGCCATCAGAACCATACCCAGGAATGGATCGATCCACTCACAAGGACACAGTCCTCACAATCTAATCACCATTTAAAGACCCCGACTTTCAGTTACCATAATAGGATTTCCCACCCTCTTAACACTGTCACAACGGGGACTGAGTTTCCAATACATGAACCTTTGGGGGACACACCTGAGCCATAGCATTCTGCCCCAGGCCCCCAAGTTCATGCCCTTCTCACAGGTAAAACATTCATCCCACCCCCAATTTTAACCTGTTTCAGCTCAAAAGTCCAAAGTCTCATCTGTGAAATTAAATTGTCTACTGACAAGATACAATGGGGGACAGGCATAAGACAGAAATTCTCATTCCAAGATGGAGAGATGAGCCCCAAAAAAGCAGTGACAGGTCCCAAACAAGTCTGAGACCCAGCAGGGCAGGCATCAAATCTCAAAGCTGGTGAACAGCCTACCCTTGATTCGATGTTTGATGTCCTCTGCACACTGGGGTGGGGGTTGGGTCTCCAAGTCCTCAGGTGGCTCCACTCCTATGGCTTTTCCCATCAAATGCCACGCTTCAGCCCTTGCAGGCTGGCATTGCACGCTGGTAGTTCTACAATTCTGGGTCTCCACGGTGGTCCCACTCTCACAGCTCCACTAGGCAGGGGTTTCTCTGCTGCAACTCTGACCCCATGTTTCTGCTCAGCATTGTTCCAGGGCAGGCTATATGTGATGAATCCACCCCTGCAACAGATCTCTTCCTGGGCCCCAAAGCTTTTCCATACATCCTTTGAAATCTGGGTGGAGGCTCCCAAGCTTCCACAGCTCTGGCATTCTGCAAGCCTGCAGACCTAACACCATGTGGACGTGGCTGAGGTTTCTGGCTTATATCTTCCAAAGCTGCACATCCAGCCACACCTGGGGCCAATTCACCAATGGCTGGAGCAGCTGGGGCATGGGGAGTAGCACCCCAAGGAGGCCCTGGCACTAAGCCCGTGGAGGGCACCTCAGGCCTGTTCCCCCAAACCATTCTGTCTCCCCAGGCCTCTGGGCCTGTGATGGGAAGGGCAGCCTCCAAGATCTCTCAAATGCCTTCAAGGTCTTTTTCCATTCTCTTGACGATGCCTTCTTTCTGTCTTGATCTCCTTAGCAGGAAGTCATTGGGCTACACCCTTGGTTTCCTCTCCCAAAGACTCCTTTTCACTCTTTACGTTGCCAGGCTACGAGTTTTCCGATTTTTTTACCCTTTGCTTCCCTCTTTACATCATGCCTTTGCTGCCATAACTCAGTATAGGCTGTTACGAGTACCCACACGGCTGCCTGAGTGCTTTGCTGCTTAGAAATTTCATCTGTCAAATACCCTCGTTCATAACTTTTAAGTTCCACATTCCATAAAACTTTTGGCCATGAACAGAATGCAGCCAAGTTCTTTTTGCAACCCTATAACAAAGGTGACTCTTGCTCCAGTTTCTCATAAGCTCTTCCTATTTCCATCTGAGACCTCCTTGGTGTGGCCCTTACTGTCCATATTCCTGTAAGTATTCTGGTCACCACCATTTAACCAGTCCCTAAGACCTTCCAAACTTCCCTGGTTTTCCTCTAAGCCCTCACCAGAATCTAGCCTTTGTCTAACCCATTCTTCCAAATTCTTACAGCCTCTGCCCATTACCCAGTTCCAAAGCTGCTTCCACATTCTCAAGTATTCGTTATGAGCAACGCCCTACTTCTTGGTACCAATTTTCTGTATTAGTCCATTTTTGTCCAAAGTATGGACATATACATGCACCAAAATACTACACACATGTTTAAGTATATGTTCTCACTTTTATTTGTGCACTTAGGTATGGTTTGAACTGATTTTCAGTGAGCATGTATCATTTTTCAAGTATGACCAGGTGCAGGCAGACAGACAGACATCCCTGAGATCAGAGACATACTTCCAGCTGCGGTCTCTGGGACTGGCATCTGGGGGCAGGGTCCTGGGGCCGGGCAGGATTAGACTCGTCAGGAAGGAGTGCAGAAGGCAGCCTGGGACCCAGAGGCCACCCAGGCGCGGGGGCGGGGGCCAGCCAGGAGCTGCCCGTGACAGGCAATCTGGGCAGAATCCCATCGGCACTGCAGAGCCTCAGAAGCAAAGTGAGCAGGAAAGAAAGACAAACCGAGGCACAGAAAGTCTGAAAGCACTGACACTCGCAAATGGTGAGGATGCAGAGCTGCTGGAACTCTCACCTGCTGCTGTGGGGTAAGAAACGGTGCGGCCACTGCCACCGGTCATACGACCAGCAGTTCTGCTGTTCAGCACCTGCCCAAAGCAACGAACGCACACAGCCACACATGAGTGTGCATGCATACGTTCACATCAGCATTTGCTATTGGTAAAAACTCAGGTGCAATCCACGTGGCCACAACTAAAACAGCCACGTACAATCTATTGTCTAAAACTCTACATCAAGGGCTCCTGTCTCTGGGTGTCTGTGGATGAAAGACGTTGCAAGTTTGGTGCCTTTTTCTGGGGGAAAAGGAGCTTTTTGAGTCTCCCAGGGTCTGGTTCAAGTGTCAATATGATGAGGCTCTATCATCCAGTTATTCAACTCACACAGGCCTATTCCTAGATAAATCCCTTCTGTATGTTACTCACCTCCACTGACTCTGCTTCTCCGGAGATCCCTGGCAGACATGGGGGCTCTGGAAATGGAGTGGTTGCAGCTGCAGCCACAGCAGCAGCAGGAGGAGGGACACAAGAGACCTCGAGTCAACCACGGTGCTGGAGGCCAGGACCGGGGCAACAGCAAGCAGCACAGGTTCCCAGCAGGAGCCCAATCCTGGGTCTAGCTTAGTCTCAGGAGCAGCACAGGGCACCAGCTCTTAGACAAGGAAGCCCCATGAATTCCCGTGACTGAAAGGAATAAGGAATGCATCTGACCTGAGGGCCTGAGCGCATGGTGGACTGGCCTCAGGAACAGGGGACTGGGGAGCAGTAAGCTAGCAGGTCCCTGGCCAGGTTGCCCTGCACCTGGGCTCCAGTCTTATTCTACCCTATCCCCCCAACCTTCCCCACGTAGACAGGTCCTGCCCCTTCCTCAAGATCTGATTCAAGAGATGCCTCTCTGGCATTTAAGCTGGTGCCAACCCTTCCCAGGCTCAAGCAAACAACATCCCAGTGTGGATGAGCAGTGAGACTCCACTGTCCTTCCAGACACTGAAATATTCTCTGGAGAACCTGACTAGTGCGCTTGAACAGAAAATGTCATGCCTGAGATTTCTGAACATGATATATGTTCAATTAGCTACACTAAACCCTTTCTTAAGCAATCCACAAATGCTACGGAGCATCAGAGTGAGAAGCTCGCAAACACTTAACCCTGAGGGGGTTGTGTATGTCTGATCACCATCCTTGGAAAGCAAGCAGTTTTCAGAAGCTGGAGCATCTGAGCCCCGCTGGCACCAAGAGGCTGGGGGTGCAGTGCAGGCTTGCTCAGGCCACAAGTTCAAGTCCTCTGGGTCCCTCTGCCCTGCACCAGGAAGAAACAAGAGCAGGACACAGGGATGGGCTCTGGGGAGGTGTTTGGGCCTGACTCCAATGCAGCATACGGCCAGAGGCAGAGGACGAGGCTGGGCTCTCATACTAGTGCTGGCATCCCTCTGCCCTGCACCAGGAAGAAACAAGAGCAGGACACAGGGATGGGCTCTGGGGAGGTGTTTGGGCCTGGCTCCAATGCAGCATACGGCCAGAGGCAGAGGACGAGGCTGGGCTCTCATACTAGTGCTGGCAAAAAATGAGTAATGCTTAAGCATAACATGAAGCTGTAACCCTCCAGGCCTCTGGGCTTCTGGTCTGGCCAACACAATTGAAGTGGACACTGAGGCTTGGAGCCCTCACATTGACCACCTGGCTTTCTGCAAGCAAATTCCTCTTAGGACAAAGTGAGCTTTCCCTCAAGTTTCTCTCAGCAATATCGTAATAAAATGCACTAAAACTGCCCTGACCAAACCACGACCACGCCACACTGCAGCCCAACAAAGGGCCAGGTGTCACACACCGGTGCTTCAAGGATGTGTGCCCTTCCAGGCCAGCAGTTCCGTCCAGGAGCTTATCCAGGATGTAACTGGTGAACACAAATGCACATGCTCACAGAGCTTATCTGAGTCACTCGAGGAGCAAAACTGAAATTCTGCAGACCACTGGAGAGAAGTGGCTTTAGCCTCTCCACCTGACCTCCTCCTCAGATTCTTCAGAACTATCGAAACACGCATATAAAAGTCACTGATGCAGGAAGTGACCCACTTCATAGGAGGTGCACCCATGGTCCCACTGCAGATCTTCCTTCTGCCCTGAGCAGCATTTGTGGGCACAGGCCACAGAGGACACTGGAGAGCCCGCACCACAGAGCCCACACAGAGGACACTGGAGAGCCCGCACCACTCGTCAGGTGGAGGAAGTGCACGCTGTCTGATTTTCTTCCTTACACTTTTCTACATTTTCTGAACTTTTGTAAATAGTACACATAACTTAGTGATCAAAATAAACAAAGCCGCTGGTGTGTATGTGCTGGTATGAATGTGATGTGGGCCATCCCGCCCACAAAGGTTCCCACAGCCAGAAAGCCAGCCCCTCAATGGGAGTTTCCACAGTCAACATCGCAAACTCAAATACATCAAACTTCACACATGTATCAACAGACTCATGCTTCCACAACAGGCTCCCTTACCTTTTCCAGGACTAAGGTTCTGGTCTATGAAGACCTTTAGCTCTCCATTGGCTTCAATTAGACCGGCCTGCAGAAATAACAACAGTAATAATAAGTACAGCATCTGAAGGAGCTACAAAGCTAAAGTTGTTAACAAACCACCACTATCAAAGGGATCTACAAAATCACATCATAAAAAGACAGAAAGTCCACTGTTATGTAAACGACCCGAGCAACCCCAGAAGAACACCAGGTCTCAGGGCAACGTTAATGCTGTCATCACCTCCAGTGGCCCAAGCAGCACTGTCTACTGGGAAACGGTTATGACTTGGAGAGTCCACATGAGCATTAAAAATCGAGAAGACATTAACAACAAAGGAAAATGCCTGCAATAGACTGTTACAACGAAAGGCATCACGTATTGACACAGAGCATAAACACAGAGGCAAACACATTAAGAAGGAATCTTACCAGAACTGTCAACCACATCCTGCTCCTCTAGGAAAGCCAGTGAAAACGTTTTATTCTCTTCTGATCCTCAGCAAAATGTCAATCCCAAGTGGGAGGGCTCTGTGGCCAGAGCCCCCTCCCAAGAGGAATGGCAGCCCCCGGGAGTTACATGTTTACGGCTCACGCATGTGTAGTGCACAAAAGCGCCTGGGTCAACTGTGTAAGGACGCGCATCTCAGGCAGCGGGCCTGGGAGACAGGGACAGAGTTCACTGACTTCACTGAGTATGAAAGCAAACAGACCAGATGGGCCCGAACACACTCTTCCACAGGAGGGATCATGGCACCAAGTTCTGCCCCCATGGTGGGACTCCAGAGGCAGGCAGGACACTGACTACAACTTAGATGCTGGGCAGTTCCCGGACTTCTCTAGGGGACGAAGAGAGCAGGGCTGCCCTGGAGCTCCTGAGGATTGTGGCAAGATCGCACCCAGCCAGGCTAGAAAGGCCACCCACGAAGGGGCTAACAGGATCAAACCAGTTCAAGCTGCCCCTTTCCAAGCCTCACTGTGCCATGGGCACTGCTGCAGCACCTCCCGGAAGACCTGGCGGGAGGAGGGTGAGTGTGACTGTCATGCTGCCCATCCGGGCTGCCTGTTGCTGGATGCGACATAGCGCAAGGCAGCCGCACATGGTGCCTGCGGGTAAGCGTAAGAGCAATGTGGGCCCTGCACCAGCCAGGAGCCAGATACACCCATGAGGAAGCCGCAAGGACAACAGCTGAGAGGAGGAACCTGGCCACCTGACGTAGTGCCAGCACGCAGAGTCAGTGATGGTGCATGTGCAGCCAGTCACCAACCACAGTGCCCCACAGGACGAGGGGCAGAACTCTGTGCTGGGATCGGTGGGTGTGCTCCAGGTACAAGGTCACCACGAGAGCACGCCAGATCCAGGCCACACGGAGCCAAGTGGCTAAGGACAGGTAACTGAGGCCAAGATATTAAGTCCAGGTGGGCACAGCCAGGAGATCAAGGGCAGGATGTCAACACAAGTGGGCCAGGCCAGTTTGGTGAGGCCAAGTGGATACATGAGGAGGTGGTGCAGGCCAGGAAGTCGGTAAGGCCCAGTAAGCCCCAGTGAGAGATGCTAGGAGAGCGAGGCCCAGCAGTGAAAGCCAGCGTGTAAGGTCAGGGCGTGGAGGTCAGAGGGTTAGGCAGAAGGCAAGGCCAGGCACGTAGGGCTGGCTGAGCACAGTTCAGTGGTTACCACCAGGCGGGCATGGCCAGTTTTACAAAGCCAGGTGAGTAGGACCAAGAGGTTAAGGCCATATAGGTAAGGATAGAAGGTTCATGAGGCCAGGTGTGAACTGCTTGGAGGTGAAAGCTTCATGTATAAGGTCAGGACATTAAGGCTGGGTGGGTAAGGCAGGAAGGAGCTCAGGTGGATGTGGCCTGCAGCTGTGACAGCATGTCACCCATGCTTAGCTCCCTCCACTTCAGCTCTAGGCACAGCGTGGGTATCATCACCACCATGGTGACGGACTGGCAGTCCCACCAGAGGCTGCCACCTTCTCCCTGCTTACCTGCTCAGCCTCAAGGCCACGCCAGCCCCAGCACCTACAGGCCACAGATACCCTGAGCTTTTCCCCAGGGCAACCCCCATACTGAAACTCCACGGCAGAGTCACGCTCTGGAGTTACTGTGCAGCCGCCTTCCTCGTTCTCCTTGCCCACCTCGACCAAGGAGAAAGAAGCGCTGCAGGAAGTTCAGGGTCGGGGATGGGATATGGGAGGCAGCCTTGCTGCATGGGCAGGAGCGGCTTTCCCTGGGGGCTGCATCCGCGCTGCCCTTCCCACAGTGGCAGTGTTCAGCGGACACCACAGAAGCAGCGCCTGCTGCTGCCCATGCAAGAGTTCTCCTGCTCAACAGTGGGACAGGCCTGGAGGCCATGGCCCAAGAGCCCAGAGCAGGGACCACAGCAATATTGAGCTCACGGCACTGGATGAAGAGCACAGGTCACCTTCTGCCTGCCCGGGAAAGCCTCTGGCAGCGTCCTTTACTGCCCCCCTATGCCCAGGCTGGCACCGTCCAGCCACCACCTCCTCCCACCCCCGACACCCACATCGTCCAGCCGCCTCCTCTCTGACGCCCATGCCCACACTGTCCAGCTGTGGGGACAGGTTGCCTTGTTCAGGGGCTGCGTCCTTTACTGCCCCCCTATGCCCAGGCTGGCACCGTCCAGCCACCACCTCCTCCCACCCCCGACACCCACATTGTCCAGCCGCCTCCTCTCTGACGCCCATGCCCACACTGTCCAGCTGTGGGGACAGGTTGCCTCGGATCTTCTGAGCTCTGGTCCCATTGTCTCTATGGGACAATACAACCCCCAGTCACTGTAGGAAGGAGACTCACACCTGGCTCAGGGCCTGTCCTCCCAGCCACCCCAGCAGGCCCCGGGGTAGCCCCTCCTCCAGGAAGTGCTTCTTCTCTGACCACAGCCCACACTTCTTGCCCCTGGCCAGGAGGGGATCGACACAGACCTTCCTGGGAGTCTGCGTCTGGATGAGAGGCCACCTTTCTCACAGTCTCGATATTGTGACATGAAGCTCAGAGGCACGTGCACCAGCACCTTCAGCCAGCCAGGTGGGACCAGAGATGGGAGTGGCACCCACCCACAGACAAGCATGGACACCGATGACACAGCTAATATCTGCAAACAAGCATCATTTTGTTCCAGGAAAATCCTCAAAATAAATTCCTCTTGCTTATACTCTAAAATTGTGCTTCTGTCTTTTGCACTACAAAAAGAGGTTACATCAGGAGAGCTGGCGGACACCCGAAGCCTGCAGCGGGGTCTGCTGATTTCACTGACCACACGTGCAGGGTCCACTGGACACCTGGAAGCAGCTGTCCCCCTAAGAGCTCCCCCACCCTTTGGCTCGCTGCAGTAAAACTACTCAGGGCATCCAGGGCAGGCTTCTCAGCGGCAGCACTGTGGACCCTGGGCCATCCTTCACTGCAGGGTATCCAGCAGCACCCCTAGTTGTGACAACCAAAGTCATCTCCAGACACTGCAGAATTGCCTTGGATGGAGAACCACCGACACAGACCCACAATTTCTGGGGCTACAGTGCCCCTAAAACAGACCTTTGCTCCTGAGCTGTACAGTAAACAAAGACACACCTGGCTACATTCTCAACCCAAACTTTCAACTAGGAACATGAGACCCAGAAGACAGGAAATCTGACCTAAAACGGAACCCAGCAGTGGGCTGTCGTGGCTGCCTATGAACGCCTATCTTGGGTACCAACTCACCCCACTGTGAGTTTTACAAGCACAGAAAATAACTGTTTCATAACACAACGTGTGTCACAATCACAAAGGAAATGCAATCTCTCCTTTCCACAGAGGAAATCAGAAAACAAAAGTACCACCTACAACTATTTTGTTCACAGATAATCCAAAGAGCAGTAATACAAAATTTTCTACAAACCCACACCGGAGGACAGTGACCTTCTTACTGAGACATGACCTTGAGAGGAAAACTTGTTACACCTGAACCGACACACCCTTGACCACTGGGGGTGGATGAGGCAGCCAGCATCCAGGTGGGCTCTGCGAGGGTCTGAATGCTACGTCCCTCCAAAATCCACAAGGTGAGGGTGTTGGGAGATGGGGTTTTCAGGAGATGATGAGGTCATGAGGGTGGGGCCTCCTGAATGGGATCAGTGCCCTCACCAAAGAGGCCCCGAGAGCTCCCTGGCCCCTTGCCCCTTGTGAGGACACAGTAGGAAGGTGCCGTCTGTGAACCAGGAAGCCACCCTCACCAGACACCAGGTCTGCCACTCCTTGACCTTGGTGTTCAGACTCCAGTGAGAAAGCAATGTCTGTTGTGTGTACGCTGCCGGGTCTGTGGTGCTTTGTTATAGCAGCTGAGCAGACTAAGCCAGCTCCCACCTCCTGATACATCTGAGTTGTCCTCTCCTTGCTGAACTGACTTTAGCCACCCACTGGGTGTGGACATGATGTCATGGCTCCTGAGGCCAGGCCACTGCCTGCTCTCCTGGGTCACCGGGCCTCCCCTGTCAAGTCCCCAGATGACTGCAGGTCTGGGTCACGTCTCAACAGCAGCCACAGCAGGGACCCCAGGACAGAAGTTCCCACCAAGCCATTCCCAAGTTCCTCACCCACAGAAACTGTTCGGGATAATAAATGTTCATTGTCACTTCAAGCCACTAAGTTTTAGGGTGGTTTGTTTCACGGCAATAAGTAACTAAAACAGCAGTTAAAGAGTTTTCCCTAGAACATAAAAAAAGTGCTTCACCAACACGGTGTTCACCAAATCTATTTTTGAAGGGATCACAACCCCACATAAACCAACTTAGTTCCTTATGGAAAGGTCACTGGCATTGTCACCTATAAGAACTGGACGCCACCCTCCATCCCCAAAACACCGCAGCATCAGCCTTCCCCTAACTGCGCTTGCTCTCCTAAAACTCGGCCCCTTCCTGGCAGGTGACCCCAAAAGACAACAGAACAGTTTAGCATAGCCCTTGCCAGCTGACAAAGGCTAGGCAGAGCCAAATACCACTACACAGAGCAGGAAGTCATCCTGGTCTTCCCTGAAAAAGACAATCAGCA